ATTATATGAAATAACGGTCGTGTGGCAATCCCCGATCCAGCTTTTGTGCTTTGTGTCCCAGTCCAGTAAGTGTCCCGCATCAGATCTCTAGTCCCTGGTTTAGCATTTCACCATTACCCTTCAGAATTCCTGGTTTGTATTGAGTCATTGAGCACTATCTTGCTGAATTTCGGACCATGAGTGGCTTAAGTGACTGACTACACACAATTATTACTATCTTTTTTTAAAAATTAATATATTTTTTTATATCAGATATTTCTAGAACACTAATTAGACAAGTTTCTTTCTGAGGTTCTTAATGAAAAATGTTAGTTTTTTAAAATAGTTATTTTAACAGTTGATAGACTCCTTTTCCAACATTTTTGTTAAATTTTTATGAACCTTAATGCGTTTTAAAGTAATAATTAAAAGTCCTTACCTTTGAGTTAGAATATTTAGCTACCAGAGCTATGACTTACCGTATTTAAGAAAAGAAAATCCTTTTTATTATTTTTATAAAAAGAATAATTCCTTTTAGTTATTCTTTATTTATTTTATTTTAAAAATTTCAACCTTTAACTAAACTTATTTTTTGAAGCGAGCTTCTCTGGAATTTCTTTAAAGATTTCTTAGATTCCCAAGTTATCGCATTGGGAACTCAATGGCTCAACTTTATTAATATATTTTATTACACTTAACATTTTTATAGGGTTATTAAAGTCGATTATCTGGAAGCTATTTTATGAGCCAATTTCCTTACCTTTTGTCGGCTAAAGTTCCTCTTATAAATAAACCTTAAATTAAACCTGACCTAAATCAAACTATTAGGAGGATTGTATATAATTTTAGAAAACCCTCCTTTTACTCCAAAATTTTTCTACGCCAAGCACTCAATTAAAACAAACGCAGCACAAAATGTATGTTTATTAGTCCATGTTTCTAGGATACCAAATTTTAATTGAGACGAGCCACTTCTAAGAAAGCAGATCCAAACGGTTCAATAGTTAGTCAGCAACTGAATGGAGGCAAAACAAATTATTGGTGGCAGGCGCTATCAGGTGGCGGCAGAAGTTTAAAACAAATACCCCAAAATGATAAATGAAATAAAACACGATCGTAAATAATCGCCGCCGCTCTTATCACGACGGCATATCTTCGGGTGCAGCATACCCGCACGCCTGAGGTTCCATACCTGAGACCCCTAAGTACCCAGCACTCAGTACCCAATACCCTCGCCCAATCCCATATATTTATAAAAGCTTACGACTAGAGCCACTCTCGATAAGTGGCACTCAGATTACAGCTGTCGAAATAATTAATACTCCTGGGTTATAGTATGAGTGCCTGGGAACAGTATAAGAGAAATCTGATTCAGGGGGGTTACGACTATAGCTTACCCTTTTATAATATTTCTATCTTCTTTCAGGTTGCTCTAAGAAAACTGAATAGTGTTACCACGGGCAATACTATACGTTTACCTAAGCAAATTCCCAATAATGTCGACACTTCGGACTTTAGTTATTTGAAGTACGCCTCTACATATTTCTGTGGAGGCGCCACCGCCCAACATGAACGAAAGCCCCTCAAGCAATCTCTATTGCAACATGAACATCCTGTGGATGAAATGGCCTCAAAGGTTGAATACACAAAGCTTATATCTTTTATTCGAAATCGATAAATAGTTGATATCCCTTCTAGGCCATTTGGTTGACTATTTTGCGTTTTATGGGCGACTTGCCGGACATAAATCAAACTGCTTCCATTCTTTCCCTGGACAATGCAACCCTCATGACAGACTTGACGCGTCTTCTGAGTGTCTCCGGAACCACCAAAACTCGCTTATTTGTGCGACAAAGGCCCTTGAAACTCATGGACGTTGGACAGAGGGAAGTGGAGGAGTTCTACCAACATTGGCTCTCTGTTCCCAGCAGCCATTTCGATAAAATAAACTTTATAATTGGTCACGGCATACTGAAGCAGAGCTTAAGGTGAGCTTCAAATTTTATAAATTTACTTAGGATCTTAATTAAAATCCTTCTTTCAGGGACGAAATCCTGGCTCAAATCTGCAAGCAGTTATACCTGAATCCCAGCCGAAACTCCTACACCCGAGGCTGGTTGCTCCTTTCCCTTTGTCTGAGCTGCTTCCCGCCGAGTAGCGATTTCGAGCCACATCTACGTAGCTTCATGAAGCAGGGAACGGCTCAGCTCCAGGCAACTCCCGCCCTCCAGAGGCTGGAAAGAACCCTCGTCAATGGGACGAGGAGTCAGCCACCCTCACTGTTTGAACTTCAGGCCATCAGGGAACGTGTTCCTCTAAAACTGGACATTCATCTGATGGATGGACAGCAGAGAAGACTGCAGGTGGATGCTGCCAGCACGGCTCGGGAGGCAGTGAATCAAATCTGTAAGGGACTGGGCTTAGCCGATACTTTTGGCTTTGGCTTGGTCATGTCTCTCCACGGAAAACTATTCCCCCTGGGAGCTGGCCAGGAACACATCCTGGATGCCGTCTCCGAGTGCGAGCAACGGCAACTGGATGCCCCGTGGAAGATCTATCTGAGAAAGGAAATGTTTGCCACATGGTACGATCCTTCGATGGATGCCAAGGCAACACACTTGATATACAAACAAATAGTAAATGGTCTCAAGGTAGGCGAGTACCGCTGTCGATCTGAAAAGGATATAGCTATGGTGTGTGCCCTGGCTTGTTTCATAGAGCATGGTCCTGGGGATATCAATCGCCTGAACTCCTCCGAGATAACAGCATTTGTTCCGAGTGATCTCCTGGCACCTGGGGAGAGGGCTATAAGCAATTGGAGTCGCTTGATTGCTGCCACCTATGAAAAGAGCTCATATGTGAGGCAGGAGCAGAAGGACTTGCAGCAGGAGGCCCAGCTGAGGGCCAAAGAGGACATATGCCTTTTTGCTCACATAACCTGGCCCATGAGGCACTCCCGTTTGTTCGAAGTGGTCCGCCGAGAAGGTCCTAAGCTCCAGAGCGATGACTTGATGCTGGGCATCAATGCCACCGGCCTATTTTTGATTGACGAAACCGAACAGGTGCTGGCCTCCTGTAGTTTCGCCGAACTACTGAAAGTTCACAGCGAAGTCAACGATGAAATCCATGTCCGGACCTTCCAGCAAGTCAACTTCGTCCTGCAATGCAGCACCGCCCAGGATGCCAGTGAAATGATAAACTATATGCTGGAAAACCTGCAAGAACGATCGAGTTATGGAATAGCTTTGGATCACTCACAGGACATAGATCAAGAGGATTTCCTGGTCCTTGCACCAGGCGATCTCATTGAATTCGAGGCTGGGGTTACAGGATCCAAGATTTTATCCAGTAATGCCCAGGACGTTTATAGGGGCTGTGTTAATGGTCGGTGGGGTAACTTTGCAGCTGGTAATGTGAGGGTTTTGGCCACTCTGACCAAGCCCAGTGCCAAGTTGCTGGAAATTTTCAAGGAAGGACACTTGGATGAGCCCCCGAAACCAATGCCCAGAGCGATTCACGCAAGACGTCGTCAACATAATATTTCTCAGCTGGCTGAGACACAATTTAGGGAACCAATAGAGTAAATACAATATATTTTTAACGAGAAATGTATTACTAATTTCATATCCTTTTCAGAACCGACAAGGCTCCTTTGACAAAGTATTCCCCAGAGCCACTGAAGGCTCCTCTACTAAAAGCTGTCGTTAAAGTAGCTCCCCTCTTTCAGCAGGCTTTGGTTATTCATCATCACATACTCAAGGTAAGAGTGCCAATTAAATTGATTTATTTTCCAACTCTTAATTATATATTTCCTGCAGTACATGGGTGACATTGCCAGGAACAATATGCCAGTGAACACGGATCTTATTTTCCAGCCTGCCCTGCAACACCCTCTCCTCTGCGATGAACTCTACTGCCAATTGATGAAACAGCTCAGCGATAATCCTTCGGCTGAGAGTGAGAAGCGAGGCTGGGACCTGCTCTACTTGGCAACAGGACTCGTGGCACCTAGTGTCCTGGTCATGAGGGAGCTGATTATCCTTCTGCGCATGAGAGCCGACGGCTTGGCCGATGCCTGTCTGAAGCGCTTGAAACGATCCTTGGCTCAGGGCCAAAGGAAGCAGGCACCCCACCTCATTGAAGTGGAGGGCATCCAGCAGAGATGCCTTCACATCTACCACAAGATATACTTTCCCGACGACACTGTCGAGGCCTTCGAAATCGAATCCCATACCCGTGGAGCTGAGCTCATATCGGATATAGCTCACAGATTGGAGCTAAAGTCCCCAGTGGGCTATAGTATTTTCCTGAAAACTGGGGACAAGGTTTACGCCATGCCTGAGGAGGAATTCGTGTTCGATTTCATCACACAACTTATTTTCTATTTGCGGCAGCAGAAGACCCTCCGCTCCTTGTCCGATGGTCACTACCAACTGCATTTCATGAGAAAGCTCTGGCTGAATAATCTTCCTGGCGAGGATCTAAATGGCGATATCATTTTCAGCTATCCGCAGGAGTTGCACAAGTACCTGAAGGGCTACTATCCCGTTGATTGCGAGCAGGCCTCGCACTTGGCAGGACTCTTGTACAGTGCGGATCATGAGGTGAGCCTGCAAAGGCTCCCGGAGGTTCTGCCCCGTTTGGTTCCCGAAGACTTGATTTCCCTGCTAACGGTGGCCGAGTGGAGACACCAAATCCTGCCCAGATTGCACCATGACCATATAACCGAGGATCAAGCCAAGATCATGTTTCTCCAGGAACTGTCCCGCTTCAGCTGCTTCGGCTCCACATTCTTTGTGGTGAAGCAACAAAACGACGACACTATACCCGAAACTATACTGATTGCCATAAACAGTACCGGCTTTCATCTATTGGATTTGCAGACGAAGGAAGTTCTCAAGAGCTACGAGTACTCCCAGTTGGGCATTTGGAGCTCTGGTAAAAACCATTTCCACATAAGATTTGGCAACATGATTGGAGCCTCCAAGCTGCTGTGCAACACGAGTCAAGGCTACAAGATGGACGATTTGCTGGCCTCCTACACGAGGTACTTTAATCAAGCTGAGTAAACTACTCTCTGGCCAAATAAAAAACGTTCTTACAAGTAACCCAATGCCTTGGCCTGTTCAATCAGGGCCAACATGCCCACCAAGAGTTCCTCACAGTTGGGAATAATTTGAACCGGGGGCAGGATGAAACCATAGCGTCCTGTATCGCGGTACTCGATGGTGAATCCTATTTTCTTGTCCAGCTCGTTGAAGACCCAGTCCACAGAGGTTCCAGTAGCCACATCTGCAAATACATGTATAAGTTTCTAAGATAGGCCAATGATAGGGATGTTATTCTTACAAAGAACAAATGCAGTGGATCCATATCGGTACGCAGTTCCATAAGGCAGAGCTTCAATGGCATCGGCAAAGGCCTTTCCCATAGCCAGAATATCATCATAGTTGTCAGGGAACTCCGTGGCAGTATGTCCATAAGGTGACAGCAAGTACTGTCCATAGGAGTGGAAGGAGAAGTAGGCATCGAACTTGTCCTGGTTGGCGGTCAAAAATTCAGTCAGGGCTTTGGCCTCCGGCTCCGAACCAGGTTGGTCTCCGGCAAAGGTTTCGCTGCAGGGATTCGATGAGGCTCCATTAGATTCCAGCCAATGGGAGTCGAAGTTGCGATTGGCATCGGCGCCCACACAGTCGTTAGTGGCATGGGGTTGGCGGGTCTTGCGCCACATCCGATCCTGTGAAAGATGGTTTGTTTTAAAAAATAATGTTTTAAAATGTATTTCAGGCAAACCTTTCTGTGGGAGTACTCGAAACCATCGACATTAAAGACAGGAATAATGTACCAATCATAGCTGTCGGCTAGGTTTCGCACATCGGGCTCCTCGGAGGTCAAAAGCTCATTAATGAACCAGGTGGCAGAGGCGGAGGTGATCCATTCCCTGGCATGGATGTTGGACTCGATGAAAATGCCCGGGTTGCCCGTTTTGTGGGAAATCTTGATGCCGCGAATAGTGCGGCCCTCGTACGACTGGCCAACAATGAACTCCTCTGTGACGGTGGGATAATTTGCGAGAACTTCATCCAGCCAGGCCTGGATTTCCTCCAGCTCGTAATACTTTGTCCAGCCAAAGGTGGTGCTATCGGCGGTGGCGGTGACTTGCTCTTCATCGATAAGCCTATTGGGGGATCAGAGATCACTATCTTTATGGCCTCAAATGAGCACGCACTAATAGTTGGCTAATCGAGCGATCTTATCACTTCAAGAGGTTCGATTGAACTATAAGGTGTGTCACATTCCTATACGTACGCTTGGACATTTTCGACCATCACTTCACTGGTGATGTTATTCAGTTTCAAAAGCTGTTGGAAATAGGGCATCTCCTCAGGATTGACCATGATATCCACCTGCTTGGTATTCCTGTCGTAGTCCCTCCAGACATTGTACTTCTTGGTTAGCTCTCCGAGCTTTTCAATGGCTGCCAACTGAATTTTGTTTTGAATATTCAGCTTGTACACTTTAAAGTTATCGTAACGCTTCATAGTGGAGTCCTGAAGGACTCCGGCACTCGCAAGAGCCACCACTGTCAAGAGCAACCACAGCAAACGCATTTCGAACAACGACTAATTGAATCAGCATGGATTGCCGCGAATGAAACCATTTTCGGTAGCTAATCTTTATTCGTTTATTGCACCAAGAATTTTCCCAGCACTTACAAAGTCTTGAGCTCAAGATAACCCAGCTCTTCACACTTATCTAGGAGAGCGGCAATGCCAATCAATGCCTCCTCGGCATTGGGAACTATGTGGGTTGGTGGCAGAATGAAGCCGTAGCGTCCAGTGTCGCGGAACTCGATGGTATAGGTAATTTCAATGTCCTGCTCATTGTAGGCCCAGTCAATAGTGGCTCCAGAAGCGGGATCTGGAAACAATACCTCTTGAAAATTTACCCAAATAGAGCAGAGCTATAATTACTTACAAAGTATTCCAGCAGAGGAACCGTATCGATAGACAGTGCCATATGGCAGACTTTCCACAGCATCGGCATAGGCTTTGGCCACTTCCATTTGGTCTTCAAAATTGGGGGGAAATTCCTCACTGGTGTGGCCATAAGGCGAAAGTAGGAGCTGACTATACGAATGGAAAGCAATCAAGACATTGAACTTCTCCTTGTTGGCCGACACGTAGTTCGCCATGGCCTGGATTTCTGGCTCGGAGAAGGGAGCAGGACCTCCATAGTCCTCGGCACAGGGATTTTCGGATGCTCCACCGTTTTCCATCCAGTGGGAGTCGTAATTCCGATTGGGATCAACTCCCACGCAGGTAGAAATATCCGAGGGCTGACGAGTTTTGCGCCACATGCGGTCCTATTAATTATTTGTTATTATTTCAATTTTTTACTTATTAAGCTATATCCAGTCCTTACCTTCTCATGAGTATAAACAAATCCATCCACATTAAGCACTGGAATAATGTACCAGTCATGGCTCTCGGCCAGTTCCCTAACAAAGTCATCCGTGGAGGTGAGAAATTCATTGATTAGCCACGTGGCTGTGGCGGACGTGATCCACTCCCTGGCATGGATGTTGGACTCTATGAACACTCCCGGATTCCCAGACTTGTAGGATATCTTAATGCCACGAATGGTCCGGTTCTCATAAGACTGTCCAAGGACAAATCCTTCGGTGATAACAGGATAGGCAGCCAGGATTTCGTCCAGCCAGGCATAGATCTCATCCAAGGTATTGTATTTTGACCAGCCAAAAGAGCCATCTCTAGCGGCCATGAAATTTTCAGCTTTCTCGGTGTTGATAAGCCTAGAAATTATAGATTACATTTTAAATGGCCCTTTAAAGCCTGAGAAATATTACTCACTCTTGCACATTCTTTATGAAAATATCTGCGGTGACGTTGGCTTTCAAAACTTCCTTTTGAAAATCGTCAAGGGCTCCAGGACTAACCATTAGATGGATTTCATCCTTGGCCTCGTGCCAGAGTTTGAACTACATTTTGAGCTGTTAGGATATATCATTTATAAGGACTTATTGAAACTCACATTATCGCGATCTTCAGCCAACTTTCTTAACCAATCCCTTTGATCCTTTGTTTCGAATCTAACTTTGTACACCGAATGGTTATCATACCGTATCCTGGTGTCCTGCCCAAAACTTGCTCCTTGGGCCAGGCCAACTAATGCCAAGGCTACTAGAAATATATTCACTGACATGCTGAGTGCCTGGAATTCAGTAAGCGACTATTTTTTCTTCAAACATCCAGGCCAGACGATGGCCATATCGTTTGGGCTACCAATAGCCATAATTCGATTGTAAAGATAGTTGTACAATAGTAATGTGCTACTTATGTCTGAAACCTTATCTCGGAATATTTAATAACCGGAGATTCCGTAATTCATTCATTTCATTTATAGGAGTCAGATTAAAGGCAAATTAAATATTCAAAACACACATTTTTTGGTAAATCTTGAATTTAATTTTATTATTCTGATTTTCTGTGTCGCTTAAATGTTACGTAATACAAAATCTGCGCCAGTTAATTGAATTAGTCTCGTGTGTTTGCTGTTGTTATTTGGTTTTTTATTATCCCATCCTATATATACACCTTCCTTGCTGGATCCGAGTCCCATATGCTGGCTACATATGGCAAGGTAGCTGAAAACTGAAACATCTTCCATGATGTTGTGGCCCCCACCAACTTGGTTGCTAAATCACGTTAATATTTAGCACAAAGTCATTGGAAGCCTTTCACTCTTTAGTTGGTTAACAAAGATAGAAATAATGTAGATTGTAAGAAGAAACAAGGGTTAATGTTTTGAAAAATTATGCATTATGTATTATTTTTGCTTTTAATTTGTTTTTGTTTTTGTTTAGTTCAGTTTAGAGTTTAGATAGCATAATTAAATGTAAGTGTTGATTTTGTTTTCTAGTTGAAGCTAAATTTAATACATTTCGTTTAGTTGTAAATTATTGTAATGTAAATTTTAGGACTAATTCAAGTTCATATCTAGGTATATTTATATAGGTAGTGTTATAATTGTTGTAAATACAATCGAATAATTAACTAATACAGAATAATTACAGAACAAACTGCATGGGAATCGTTCAATTGCTCAATAGCTCTGCTCATAAATCCGAAACTACCATGTCGTGGCATGTGTAGACGCATTAATATATATTTTTTGTGAGTAGGCATACATAGTATAAATTGGTATGGGTATAAATTGATTGAATTCTCGTTTATAATTTTTGGAATATTCAATTTTGACACACAATGATCTTCACAAACTCTCCTCGTTGTTGTCTTGTACATTTTGACTAAATCGGGGAATAGAAAGTGAGTAAACACAAAACAGAGAAATTAAATCATAGAAAAGAAGGCATAGACTAAGCGCACTTTATAACAACTCGCTTGGACACTCCATCCTTTTCCATCCTCCATCCTCGCCTTAAACTCAAATAACACTTAACACATATTAAACTTAACATTTACAGAATTTAATTCAATCTAAACGCATTTTACTGCCACATAATATACGGTTACTGTTACAATTAAAAGAAATGCACACGCGCACAAAAAACGAAACGGAATCCTTAACATCATCTAATTATTAAAAAGAACTTTACATTAGCGGTTAGTGTTAATTAATTACAAATTAGTAGTGGGGTTTCCATGTCTCCTTTGAATTTGTGGTTCAGTTAGGTGTGGTTTTCATCTTGTTCTTTGTGTGGGATTCAATTAAATAAATAGTTTCTGGTTAGTCTGCCTTCCAATTTAGTCGTTTAGTCTAGCCTAAGCTCTACACACTAGGAGTTATTCTCACAGTCATCGGGTTTGTGCTTCGTGCGTAAATTGCTCAAAAGATCGGCACAGTTGTTGACCATCATCAGATAGTCTCCGTTCTCAGCGTTCAGCTGCTCGTGGTTCAGTCCACCACTGTTCCCGCCCAGTCCGCCACCATTGTTTGTCTTCTCCGCTTGTCTGCAAAAGAAACAGAAGATATTAATATCAGGATATCTTGGAAAGATGTTTCAACTTACCTATTGGTGGGGATGCTGCTGAGCATATTCCTGGACATGATCAGCGCATTCTCCAGTTCCTTCAGCAGCAGCGAATTCTTAAGATTGGCATGCAACTGCATGGCTGCTTGGGTTGTTGTATAAAGTTTATTAATCACATTGTGCACTTGGGCCTCAGCTGCAAGTCAAAAAACATAGGAATTAGAAACCTATTCTAACTAATATCAATGGTTATAGTCTTACGATCTGTGCCCTCATAATCCTCTAGATTAGTAACACTATTCCTCTGTTTTCCAGCATTGCCTGGACTACCACTTAGGTTGTTGATCAAGATCTTGCTCTTGTGATCAAAGCCCAGATTTCTTGGCCTTGGCGGCACAATGGGCTTGTTATTGGCAGTGCTATTGGGCGTCTCCTCGGAGCTGGAGTCATCCTGCATGGGTGTGGCTACAAAAAGAGATTTTTGATAATTATTTTAGGGTTTTGAAACTATAACTTATCGGTTTACTTACCACTGCTAAAGTTTGGCGTTTTGCGACGATTGTTGTTAACATTGTTGATCTTGTTGCTGTACTGGCGATTGGCAGCTGTTTGGATTAAAATTGAAGATATTTAAGATATAAGTTAACTATAATATAATATTATATAATTAGTTTGCTTACCAATAGGACCATTACTGCGTCCCTGTCCGTTGCTGGCACTGCGCAAGCGATTGCTGTCCTCAGGCTCTGAGTCGCTCTGGAATTTATTTAATTTTAATATTAAAAGTAAAATATTTACCAGTTAGTATTACTTACACCCTGGTTAAGAACATTCATAGAGTTGCTGGAGGCACCTAGACCTGTTTTACCCTGGAGGCTGTTCCGCTTGCTGGCAGATCTGGAAATGTTGCCATTGCGGTGTTGAACCTGTGGTTTTTGTGGAGTTCCATTCGATTTTCCAGCTAGAATAGAAAGTGTTTATTAGTACCTTTCAAATATTTAAGCCTAGAATTAATTAATGTTGATTGGAATCGAGGGCTTACGCTTGCCAAAGTTGCCCATGTGCAGGTCGCTCAGCGAACAGGCGCGGCGTATGGAGGACTCCTCGATGGGCATGGGATTGAGCGTTTTGGGATTGCCTGTAAATGGGGGCACAGATTAGTTTTGGCTCGGATCATGCACTTGTTAAGTCTAATATCAATGTATATATTTCGTGTGTGCTAGGATATACTGAATGGGTAATGGTTGGTTGGATAAAAAATAAAATAACTAGTTTCAAACTGAGAGTGCGCTAATGAAGGTGTCGGTTTAACTCAAGAGGCACAACAACCAAGGCGAAAACTGCGACTCAAACCTGACTCCATCCTTAAAACAACAGCAGTCCTGGTGCCTTCCTCATCATCATCAGCATGGACAGTGGCTTCGGCATCCAGCTTTTCGTCATCGGCCTTGACCTCTTTGGCCAACTCCACATCCTGATTGCTGTACATGTCCGAGAAGTCAGTGCTCTCCAGGACATCCGGCAAGCTGCAGTTCCTACGCATATTTCTCGCATAGGCACAGAGGTGTGACGCCTCTCCGGAGGTCAGTTCGTCATCCTCCATTGGCTCCTCACCGCGAGCCAACATATCAAAGTTCATGGTCAGGCTCTTCACGTAGCCCTTCTCCTTGGCGTTGCAGTTGAAGGGTCTTAGCCGGGACTCGGTGGCCAAGCGTATCTGCTCCATTTTGCACTCCTCCATGGCAATCAGTTTCTCAATGATATCAATCTTCTTGGCGATATTCTGGCACTGATGACTGGTTGTGGTGGTGTCTCCCTTTCCTCCCTTGCCCGATTTCTCCCTAATCCGTCCAGCATTATCTAGATTTTTTCTATACTTCTCCCTCTCTTGTTGGATCTCATCAACCACTGCCTGGAGTTGGGGTTTCGTATAGAGCTTTAACGATTGCATATTTTCCAAGTTCTCCGGGGCATTGCCATTCTCCGCAAAATACATTTCGAAGCTACGTTCCCCGTAGTCGCTGGGTAGACTGCCTACCTCTAGTTCCATTTCCGGTTCCGGATCGGGCTCTTCCTCCCGGCTGATAGCCGCCTGCCTCTCCCGTTTGGCACTAGGCGTGTACTTGATCTGGGAGACTGTGTTGAAGCGAACTGAGATCTTGGGTCGGTTCTTTTGCCGAACACTAGTGGCTCTCCTGCTGCTCTCGGAGTTATCGAATCTGGATACCTTCTTTAGGCAGCTCTGGGTTCTTGACCCACTTCCGGCCAGAGCTCCACTGCTCACCGAGCTCCTCATGGCCGGCCGTCGCTGCTGCTCACGCTCCCTCTGCTTTTCCTTTTCAAATTTTTGCAAATTATGCTCGAACTGCTGGACCACACTGGCAGTTCTCGACTGGGATTTCTGCTGGTGCTTCTGCTGCTTTTCCACTTGGCTTAAAGTGCTCATTAGACTCTGGGGCTTTGCTGGAACGGGAGGCTTTGGCTTGAGCTGTTTTCTTACAAACATAGTGTCTCCCGACTGCATGCAGGGATTTGAGTTTCGTTGTTGGCGCTGCTGAGCAAAGTCCGTGCTTAGCGATTTATTAACTCCCGAGTTGTATTGCTTGTTTTTCGATCGCAGAGTGGGTATATTTTCAGAGGCCTGGACCTGAGCTATTCTTGGATATGTCTTCGAACTGGGCAGGGGCTTCAGCGGCTCTAGATTGTAGCTGGTGACATCAAAGCTATCTGTTGCAGCGGCATGCTGCTGCCGCATGTAGTAATCAAAGCTTCCATAGGCATTGGGACTGTTTCCGTAGGACTTCGAAACAGGGCCATGGATGATAAAGTTCCGGATGCCGGCATGTCGTTGGTGGATCACCTGCGCCACCTGTGGATGCTCCAAAGGAGCACTCTGGCAGTCGCTCTCGTCGGAGAGCACACTCTCCAGGCTGTTGCAATAGCTACCGGCTCCATCGCCATCAGAGAGCAGGGACAAGGACTCCTGACTCTGCTGTCCTGTCAGGAAGAAACTGGCACTGGAATGTCGCTGCGTCTCCAGGAACCTGGCCTCCTCCAATCTCCTCTGGCTGGCTGCAAACTGCTCTGGCTGGAGGATGTCCGAGAGGGACACTTTCCTCTCACACTGATAAAACTCCTGGTAAACGTAGTACTGGGTGGTGCGTCTTGTGGGCGTGGAGTCTCCCGTGGACCCCAGGCCTCCCAAGTTCCTCAGATTCGCCGGCATGGAGTAGGAAGCCGGCAGACCTCCTGGCTCGTCTAAATCTCCATATTTTCGGGTGATTTCGTCAATCATCTTTTCAGTATCGGCATGGATCATATCCAGGATGGTGCGGGCATCGTCCGCATAGACGGAGTGTCTCTTGGGTTCGCCCAGAAGAGCTCCCCTTTCGTTGCCCTCGGCCGACCACTCCACCTCCTCGTGGACTGGTGACACTGGACAGGACTTGTAGTGCTTTAAAATACTGGGTGTTCTCCTATTATTTCCGGCAGGATTCCGTTTAACCCTTGGCGTAGTTTGCTGTTGCTGGCGTGGCTGCTGTTGGGAGTTGTATCTAGCTCCCGCAGAGGATCCCCCTCCAAATGGCACTCCCGGTGGCGGGTGTATCTGATGAACACCCACGTGATGAGGATAGGGAGGATAGTGCTGTTGCACCTGCCGCATTGTCTGGAAATTCTGTTGCAGCTTGGATTTGGGGGCAGCGCAGTTGAAAAATTGCTGAGAGGCAGTTGGGGCATAATGGGGCTGCTGGCTTTGGGGATGTGGCGGCTGCTGTTGCTTCTGGGGCTGCTGCACTGGTGGATATTGCTGCTGGGTATTCGCGGTTGCGTTTTGGGGGCTAATGTACTGCGGAGTGTCATGGGAAGCAACAACTAATGGGGTTAGTCAAGTTTATCAAGTTTATCATTCAGGGGGTTTATGACAATATTATTTTTTACCGCAATGCGCACAACAAGGATAGCAATAGTCAGAAAAAAGAGACAAGAACAAACAACGGAGAAGAGAGAGAGTTTTGGTTTCCATTAGCCTACTGTCCAACTCTTTAAGGGCTCTTATAAGGTCAATCAGGGGTTATCCATCGCTTGAAGCACTCACCTGGCTTTGTATATCTTCCGGGACCACTGCCCGTATTCCTCGAGCCATCCAAATTGGCAGCCAGACTCAGGTCCGATATGCTATGGCTTCCCCGAAGGGGTCTATGGCCTACCTGTGGGTCGAAAGATAAGTATTGTAATTAATAAATGTTTCATTTCTTTGACTTCTGATGTTTTAATGTGTTAACCGAAACAAAATAATGTACAGCTTGTAGAATGATGAAAATAAATGTTTTATTTGTTATAAGCTTGGGGTTTGAGGTTTATAGCTTCTTTAATTTAGCTCTCTGCGAAGGCTATATCTCTGCCAATATCCATCCGATTCTTAAGCGGAATACCTTAAACGATTTTTAGATCGATTCTCAACAAATCTGCATCAAAACCTAGGAACAAAATATTTTTTAGATTTTATGTCAAATTTTCTGGGGCATCTTCTTTGAAATTCCGAAAAAGGCATGGAGGCACCCATGCGAAGGCTATATCTCTGCCAATATCCATCCAATTCTTAAGCGGAATACCTTAAACGATTTCTAGATCGATTCTCCACAAATCTGCATCAAAATCTAGGAACTAAATATTTTTTAGATTTTTTGTCAAATTTTCTGGGGCATCTTCTTTGAAATTCCGAAAAAAGGCATGGAGGCACACATGCGAAGGCTATATCTCTGTCAATATCCATCCGATTCTTAAGCGGAATACCTTAAACGATTTCTAGATCGATTCTCCACAAATCTGCTTCAAAATCTAGAAACAAAATATTTTTTAGATTTTTTGTCAAATTTCTGGGGTGTCCCCTTTGAAATTCCGAAAAATGCATGGACGCCCCCAGTAGCCCCCTGCGAAGGCTATATCTCTGTCAATATCCATCCGATTCTTAAGCGGAATACCTTAAACGATTTCTAGATCGATTCTCCACAAATCTGCATCAAAATCTAGGAACAAAATATTTTTTAGATTTTCTGTCAAATTTTCTGGGGCATCTTCTTTGAAATTCCGAAAAAGGCATGGAGGCACCCATGCGAAGGCTATATCTCTGTCAATATCCATCCGATTCTTAAGCGGAATACCTTAAACGATTTCTAGATCGATTCTCCATAAATCTGCATCAAAATCTAGGAACAAAATATTTTTTAGATTTTTTGTCAAATTTTCTGGGGCATTATCTTTGAAATTCCGAAAAAGGCATGGAGGCACCCATGCGAAGGCTATATCTCTGTCAATATCCATCCGATTCTTAAGCGGAATACCTTAAACGATTTCTAGATCGATTCTCCACAAATCTGCATCAAAATCTAGAAACAAAATATTTTTTAGATTTTTTGTCAAATTTTCTGGGGTGTCCCCTTTGAAATTCCGAAAAATGCATGGAGGCACCCATTAGCCCCCTGCGAAGGCTATATCTCTGCCAATATCCATCCAATTCTTAAGCGGAATACCTTAAACGATTTCTAGATCGATTCTCCACAAATCTGCATCAAAATCTAGGAAAAAAATATTTTGTAGATTTTTTATGATCTTTTCTGGTTGGCCTTTAAAATATTTAAAAGACAATAATCAATAATCATTCTTTTCTTAAGTGGAATATCCTAATGGATCCGTATATTGATACCCTATTAATTTTATGCATTTTGAATATAGAATCGTATGATGGAAATATAAATATAAACGCAGTAAGTCATAGTTCCGTTAGTAAATAACAACCATACACAACGTTAGTAAGTACTAATTCAATATCAAAATAGTACAAACGGGTTTATTTAAGCATCTGTGTTTGAGTGAAGTTAGTGGGATGAGTTGCTAAATGGTTTGAGTGGTTTTCTGGCTGCTCAGTGAGGTTTTCAGTGGTGCTGCGATAAAGTGTTGAGGGGTTTGGTGGTGGGGAATGGGGCCGCGACATCTTTAGCCGAGTTGGCTTATCTGACTAAGCAAGTTTCTTTTTTAGTCGCTAGCTGGGGCTATTTTTAGACTCGCTAGCTATTGCGGCGCGATGCCACATGTGGGAAGTTGGATTGGACTTTTCCAAGAAGCATCGGTGGTTCAGTGGTAGAATGCTCGCCTGCCACGCGGGCGGCCCGGGTTCGATTCCCGGCCGATGCAAAATACTTTTTTTTTCAATATTTTAATTTTTAGAAATTTTAATAATTTTAGTTTATTATAACAATCTTGTTTGAAATGAAACCACCTTTGAAATTTATTATATGTTAGTCTTAAAAGCATTGTGGGTATTATTTTTGTCAAGTATTTTTAAGCATCAATACAAAAAGCAGCAAAGAGATTTAGTAGGCATCTGAAATCGGCTCACCTCAACTATAGCATTTAACCTTGGGTTGCCATTCTTGCGCGTTGTACCCTAAACACACAAGTTACGCAACGGTATTTTATTTATTTTTTGGGTGCATTTTTTTGGGGGTTTTGGGAGGTTGGAGTTTGGAGATTGTAGGACAGACCAGATACCAAAAACAAATAATGGGACACATAAAAAATACAGAAAAACACAAAAGAAATAAACAAATTAGATGAGGAAATAAAAAAAGGGGGGAAAAAGTCTCCCGAGAAGGGGGGGACATAGACGGAAAACACACTGAACGAATGGCGGGACCTTGACCGCCACAACTGTAACACTCACATTCTCCAGCTGCTGCTTGACCTTGTTGATGACCTGCAGCAGCTCCTCCTTCTTGGTGCTGGTATACGACTTGGTGATGGTGGGCGGCGCAGCCACCCCTTTGCCATTCTCGGTGTTGTGCTTGGCGCTGATGCTGCGGCGACCTAGGACGAACACTTTTGGTTATTAAACTCTTAAATCTTCTCGAGAAAGCCATCTTACTGCTGGTGCCCCGCTCCATGGGCGATGTCAGTCCGGGGCCTTCGGGCAGAGCGGCGTGCAGGAAGCTGTTGCTGGTCTGGGGCAGGTTTTCGGAGCTGCCACCCAGAGTGGAGGCCAGCGAGCGCTCTGCATTTTCGGCACTGGGCGTGGAGCCTTCGTCCTCGGTGTCGGATGTGCCAGTTCCGGTTCCAGTGCTGGCCGTGTGCGAGCTTCCGTTGCCACTGAGGGCCGGGGGTGTCAGCTGCAGGCCAGATTTCTCGAACTTTTGGCGGCGCACCGACTTGCGTAGCTCCTCCTCGTTCATGGCCGTTACTTTGAAATCTCTGCAAGAATAAAATTAAATTAGTCTTCCTCTCAAAAGGCAATCGATGGCTTTAAGTTACGTGGGCGTGCTGGGCGCCAGGTTGTTGTAGAACATTCCATGGTCCGAGCTGGTGCGTTCGCCATCGGAAATATCCTCCACGTCGCCATCATGATCGTGGGTGTGGGTATCGAAGCGCAGTCCGGGTTTCCCCCTTTTATCCGGCAGCTGGAGACGCTGAGGTCCGGCTCCCGAGCCCGGAGCAGGCATGGCACCATTAGAGGCTGAAACAGCCAGCGAGGAGACGGAAGACACTGTGACCACCGTTCCGTTGTTGCTGCTACCAATGAACTTCAGTTCGCCCCTGCGGGTCTCCATGCCCGAGTCGATGGACGAGTCTTCGCTCAAGTAGGTTTGATTGTACATGATGTCCTTGGAGGAGGCACTGTTGTAGTCGGATGTCTGGACATTGACGCCACTGTGTCCGCCCACCGACGAGACTGTGCCCAGGGGGCTTTCCGAGTTCGAACGCAGATCGTCCGCCGTCTCCAGCTGGGTGCTCCTCTGCGCCCATCGGCCCCGGGCCCGCGGCGCCATCTGTTGACTGGGCGAGGAGCTGAGGTTGCCCATCGAGGAGGCGGCATGGAGGGCGGGAACAGCATTGGCGCCACCACCACTGGGCGTGGGGATGGACAGAGCTCCGCTATCCGAATCCCCGGCAGCCTTGCGCATCGCCCACTGTGGCAACTGTCCCACATCCGAGAAGCGCTCTGTGACTCCAAACTTTGGCTGCAACTGAGGCTGTTCGATCTCGCTGGTGGGCGACTCCATAACTATGCCCTCCGGTGGCGAAATGGGCGCCAATGGCCTCGGCAACGGGGCATGCCCCGAGCGCAGGCGCTGCTGGGACATTCTCGCCTGCATGGTCACGATCATGTCGTGGGGCACCTGCCAAATGAAGATGCAACCGTCGCCGCTTGCCGAGATCAGGTGCCGGCAGTCGTTGGTGAACTTGAGGCCCGTGACCAGCTCACTGTGTCCGTACATCCTGGCCATGCACTCGCTGGAGTAATAGTCGTAGACAGCCAGGGTCTTGTCCGTGCAGGAGGTGGCCACGTAAATGCCACTGGGATCTAGGCTGAGCTTGATGAGGCTTCCCTCGTCCGAGTGGGAGCCCTTGAAGGTCTTCGTCTGCTTGGCATTCTGGGTGCCATAGACCCGGACATTCCTGTCCTGACAGGCTGTCAGAATGTGTTTGGCATTCGAGTCCACCTCCATGTCGTACAGAGTCGTCTTTCCAGAGGTGTTTGTGCCCCGCATGAAGATGTTTCCCTGAGAAATAGACATTATTTCCAATCCCGACCTGCTCGCCATGCTAGAAACTTACCTGAAAACTCCGGAACATGATGGACTTGTCGGCCCCGCAACTTATCATCTGGAAGTTCAGTCCGGCACCCACAAACTTGATCGAGGTGATCGAAGAGCTGTGATCGTCCAGGGTCTGGAGCAGCAAGTAGTCCTGGGCCACATCGAAGACGTGTATCAAGCGATCCCGACTGGCACTGGCCAGTAGTTTCCTTTCGATCTTCTCGTTGGAGTACTCCAGACAGAGGACCTCCGACTCGTGGGCCTCGATGGTGGTCAGCAGGCGGAGATTCACCAGGCTGTACACCCGGATATTGCCACACCGATCTCCGCTGGCCAGATGCTGCAGCTCCGGGCTGATCTTGATGCATCGCACTCCGTTGCGGCCGTCGTAGGAGGAGTTGCCGCTCTTGTCGAACAGCGACGAGCCCTGGTCCTTGATGAACTGCAGCTCCTCGTCGCTGTACACGATTTTGAGGAGCTCCTTGGAGTAGATGTTCCGCCGATAGATGTCGTTGTTGGTGCAGCCATCCAGGCCCCAGACACGAATCGTATCGTCCGAGGAGCAGGTCACAAAGCACTCCTCTGGCAGAGTTTGTGATGGCTCCCGCTCTACGTTGTATGGCACTGTCTCCACGCCCCAGATGCACGTGGAGTGGTAGAGGAAGGAGTGCGACTTTCCCACCCGCGAGATGTCGCGCAGATCCCAGATATACAGCGAATGATCGTTGTAGACGCAGCTCACCTAATTGGGAGAAGGGTATGCTATTAATATCCTTGAATTTCTGGAATATGTTACCTTGGATCGCTGCTCGTCAAAAACCATGGCAATACAGTCCGGAAACTTGGCCTGTTGCGGCACCGACATTATGTGATTGATTTGAATGCCCTGGGCCACGTCCACGCCCAGGTAGTGGGTGCGTGGCAGAGTGGTCACATACTCCAGCGTGGCCGCGTTGAAGATCCGAATAATGGACTCGGCACAGCCCACGAGAATGAAGCGCTCGTTGACGCAGAGGCAGTTGGCGTTGGTGGTGCGGCACTGCACCCACTTGTCCAGCAGGCGGCGGGAGCTAAACTCCACCAGATGTCCTTGACGGGTGATGGCGTACGTGCTCTCCGCACAGATGCCCTTGCCACATGCCACCGCACAGAAGTCGTTGTCCCGCAAATCACCCAGAATGGCGCTGCGTCCCATCAAGGGAATTGGATCCTTGTACTGCAAAAACGCATGTAAATCATTAGCTCTGGCCTTCAGAATAAGTTATGGGATTAATATTCAAAGAGTATAAAGTGGCTTGTGGATTTAATTCCTCCCTAAGGAGAACCTTCTTACCTTCCTGCCTCCTTCGAGATACCAATATTTGACATGGCGATTGCCCACAGTGACGAAGTAGCTACCATCCTCGGCAAAGCAAACGGCAGCCACTTTCGAGCTGATTTTATTCGAGGCCATCTTCAGGTTGGCCCGCCAGTCGAACACATTGACGATCATATCGTGCTGGGAGCCCACCGAAACCAGGTACTTGCCCGTGGGCGAAAAGGCCTAGAATTAATTAATAGTTAGTCATTAACTAAGAAAGCTACCTAAAGTTAGTGAGTACACTTACCACACAGGTGACGGCGTATTTGTGATCCACAAACTCTGCCACAACACTGCCGCCAGTGCAGTGCTCCAGACTGCCGTTGGGTGACTCCAGCTCCCAGACCTTGATCGCCGGATTGATGCCACACTCGCCGGTGGCCACGTAGCGACCGCAGCGGGAGAAGGCCACGGATGTGAATGCTTTGCGGGAGGTGTTGACCAAGTAGGCCTGTGTCTGGCGCTTGGCGTTGAACAGCACCACGGTGCAGCTGTAAAATAAAAAAAAAGCTTTATATTTTCACTGCAGAATTCTGTGGACATTTATCAGCCACTTTAAGATCCTTTAAACACGTCCTTGACCAAGGAACGACAGCAATAGTTGGCTACACATTTAAAATGCCCAAGGATGTAAGCTCTGGGTTTCCTTTTTTTCTGGGTTTCCCCCACTTTGTTTGTGCCTTTCCGAGCCGCCACCTTCGACCACTTTCGACCCCCATTTAACCCTCTTATGCCAGCAGTTAACTGCCTTCTGCCCGGCTCATTATTAAGCTGCTCTTTGGCCGCCCCGCTAGTGTTCCTGGTTAATGAGGACATCACGCCCACATCTCTGACTATACACTTGAATAAAGGAAATATATTTAAATATGAAATATTTCCATATTTATTTCTATTTAAGAGGAGTACTTTCGAGGCTCGCTTTCAAGTGTAGTATATGTATGTACTCTCCTTGGTAGTTTCTATTTATTCATGCCAAGCTCACACGGCTGCCAAGAGAAAAGAACTTTTCGTCGTAATTCTAGCGTAAATATGCACTTTTTTTTAATGCACATAATTAGTATAGTTACTCGGCTTAATTAATTACAATTTAAATACGAGAAAGGACAAGGTAAGGCAGGAGCTTAAAGAGGATTCAAATAATTAACAAGACCAGAAGTTAAATTTAAGCTCTCTTATTGGCAATTTTCGCTCCGCATTCCATTTACGAATTACGAATATCTAGTGAGCCTCCGTTTAACCAATCTGTCATTGATGATTATTATTATTTTGCATATTACGTATACGCCCCGTAATAGCCAATTGCGAGCTAAGCAAATATTCACTGGCGTATGCAAATCCCAGCATCGCATTGACATTTAATGTGCAACCAGCTGACATTATGTCACTTATTTCTGCTACCTCCCCATAACTCCCATTTCCCTCGTTAGTCGTCACTCGAATTTCTTCCATATTTATGGCCAAGAAATGCGAATATTCAGCCATGTGTGGCAGTTGACGAGATAAAATCCACCGAATTCATGACACATTTTTTTGTGGCAAGCTTTAAGTTGAAATCTCGACACAGACCAGCAGGAAATGATATCCCTGCTGATGGTTTCCTTTTGGCCCAGCATGACACACGAAATATATAGTATAGACATTTTTTTGAACTTACCCAGCTGGATAGGCCAGCAGGCCGCTGACTGGGGACACATCCAGAGCCGCATTGCTGCACACAGTCAGGCCCAAGACTTTTTTGAGTTTTATCTGCAAAAAATAAACGAGAACATAAAATCATTAGGAATTACATCACTCTGAGTACCCATATAGCTTATTTTTGTTTCTTTTCCAAGGCCGCCCATACATAATATTTGCTGAAAAAACTAAAAGCCGGCTGTGTGAATTGTTAACGCACACAATTCGCACATTTATCATGTTGGTATCGTGTGTTTACATATGAACCCAGCCTTATATGATTTACATAAGCCAATATACAACTTGCCACATCATGTCAACATGATTTTCCAATGTTTTCGGTTTTACATTTTCCATTAATAGTTTTTTTCGAAATTATTATATAATAAGTTGAGAAAGCAGGTATTGAGAACCCTAATGATTTCATTCATTATTTTACCACAAAGGTGGCTCTTGTTTATAATATTTAAAAAGCCAGTCGGTTGTTACGCCTCACTTGAGCTTCACCTTGATCTTGCCCAAGCCACTAAGTAATGGGTTATTAAAAAAAAATTTAAAGCCGAGCTAAGCAATCAAGGGGCGTACAGAACAGGTTGAGTATTTTGAGCTATGACTTAAAAAACAATAGCAATGATGGCAAAAAAGTGAAAAGGAAGTGCAAGTCGAGCAAAGTGCTCGAGCTGACTGCCGCATTCTAGCTGGGTTTGGAATATGGCATCGAATATCGAATATAGACGGACGTAAATCAGTTTTTTTTCGAGCCGTGGGCGATCTGTCAACTTTGGCATGCAAAGAGCATCCAAAAGATGCTTGATTCTTCTGCGTCGCAAATCGCAGACACAGATACAGATAGAGATACAAATATACAAATTAAACGCATACATTCAGGCTGAGATCATCTCGAAATAAAACAAAGTGGCAGTGGAACGTGAGACCGAGAGACTCCAACGTTTCTGTTTACTACGAGAATTATTTTATTGGCTTGTGTTTCAGGCAAACACCAACGCAGCTCTAAAATCTATATTTTAATGCATAAGGTCGATCTGGCCAACCGGTTTGTGTTTCATCTCGTTTTAGTCTCTATTCGACTCTCTCTATCGCACTTCTCCCGCATATTTGCATTTTTAATGACAATAATATGCCGTGAAATTGTAAACAAAATTTCTGAGCATGACTGGGAGGGACGGCCACAATGAAAATATGCTAACCATGACTGAAAAATGATAATCAAAGCTTCCCCCAAATCATGACCAACTGGCATCGATTTCTTTTAGCTTCCAGAGAAAGAGAGAGGTGGAGATCCGTAGAAAGAGATCGACGAGCAATTACGGGGCGTATGCGCAACAAAATCCGTGAGCTTGATTGCAACTGCGGGGTTTAATTCGTTTTGAAATGATAATTAGGCAAAGCAGCAGCACAAAATTAATGGGATGTTACGAGAGTTTAGTTTTTCATTTTGGAATTTGATTAGAAATTTTAATGAAATTTATAGATTTTAAAATGTTAAATTATGGGCTATGAATCCTATAATATTTCTCTCTTCTACCAACAATCTGCCACAGTTTCAATGCTATCCATTTATTTTACAAACGGAAGTCAACACACGCCATTCATCAAAGCTTAATTTGGTAGTTGCCAAATATATATAAAAAACAGCCCACAAAAAAAGCAAAATTCTTTTGTTACATATTTGGTGTAGTAGCGAAATTTATGTCCAACCGAAGAGAACTCAAATATCCATTTTGTGCGACAGATGCGGCCGTTAAATGATAATTAATTATTATTTAACTCAAAGTATGAATGACGAAATCTTGGCCATGACCAGACAGTACAAATTGGCCAGAAGGCAAATCACTTTGCGGTCAAGTGTCTGCTTTTTGGCCCAATGCCCGGCGATTGTCTTAATGATGGAGTTACTGCTATTGTTTTCGACCAAGTTCAATGCACGCAGCTGTTTGGCTGCAATTGTTGGCCAAATTCTATACCAAGCCCACAGCATTTCGAATTTTAAAGCGGCTTTCTGCCCACAATTCGAGCAAAAAAGGCCACAAAATAAGCTGAAATATTTCCATTAGACGACAGGTGTCAACCGAAAATCATGCAATGAAAATGTTTACCTTAAGGCCTCCCGCTCGGCCTTCAGTAGAATTTTAACTCCCAAATACTGTATGCATATTGAGGCCGCATTTCTCCGCCCCCTTTATTAGCTTATTAATATTTATAGTTGAACATGTTTATAAATAATTACAATTAAGCCCATCAAGAGGATGGAATCCAGCAGCCAAAATCTAGCTGGCGCCTAAGGCCTGAAGCCGGGCCTAATGAATTCCCCGCCTGTTTTAATCAATAAATAAACAACCAAGCAGGAAAAGATTAACATTAAGAACTTCTTGCATAATTTATGGATGAATTATTGAGATGTTGATAAGTCAGCGACTTTAAACAAATGAATATTAATTGCAATTATGTTGGTTTGGCTCTCGGCTTCTCTGGCAAATAGAAATTCTGGTTTTGTTAGGTTTTTTATACCCTTGCAGAGGGTATTATAATTTTGTCCAAAAGTGTGCAACGCAGTGAAGGAGACATCTCCGACACTATAAAGTATATATATTCTTGATCAGGATCACCTCCTGAGTTGATATGAGCATGTCCGTCTGTCCGTCTGTCCGTCTGTCTGTTTCTACGCAAACTAGTCTCTCAGTTTTAAAGCTATCGTCTTGAAACTTTGCACACACCCTTCTTTCCTTTGCACGCAGTATATAAGTCGGAACGGCCGGGATCGGCCGACTATATCCTATAGCTGCCATATAACTGATTGATCGGAAATGGTATAACTTTGGTGTTTTTAGAGTTAGAGAGTCAAATTTGACATGAGAGCTATTTTTGGCAAAATAATACGACATGCCAAATTTCATAAGGATCGGCCGACTATATCTTATAGCTGCCATATAACTGAACGATCGGAAATGACCCAACTTTCGTGTTTTTGAAGATAGAAAGCTGGAACTTGGTACACATTCTATTTTTGGCCAGTTAATCCGACCTACAAAATTTCATTAGGATCGGCCGACTATATCCTATAGCTGCCATATAACTGAACGATCGGAAATGACCCAACTTTCGTGTTTTTGAAGATAGAAAGCTGGCACTTGGTACACATTCTATTTTTGGTCAGTCAATCCGATCTACCAAATTTCATAACGATCGGTTGACTATATCTTATAGCTGACATATAACTGAACGATCGGAAATGGTATTTGGTAGAAATATCAACTTTCGAATTTTTGAAGATAGAAGCTTGGGACTTTTTTTTAGATTCTTTATTGTAATTAATTGGTTTTATTATGATGTAATCATAAGGATCGGCCAACTATATCCGATGTTTGCGATATATATCCGGTTATAGCTGCAAGGGTATATAAACTTCGGCTCCGCCCGAAGTTAGCTTTGCTTTCTTGTTTTTTGTGAGTTTGTGCCACCACGCTTTGTGCATTTCCAATTGGCTTTCATCGGCTTAAACGGCAACCGTACATGGCCCTCATAACAAAGCTGAAAAAAATGGCACTATACCTTCAGATAGGTTACGTGAGCAAAATGTTTATGACAATGTACCGAAAGCCAGGCCACGTTATTATTCCCGATAGAATAAAATCAATTTAAGCCTGGCTTAGATTCCATCCTTGACATTGTCTACAGATAGATTCCTTTCTCAACTTCTCAACTCTCTGATGCTGCCGACAGTGGCTAATTGCCCATAATTACCCCCCGGCTGAGCAAGCAATTCATGCTCAAATAGAATATTTGTATGCCGGTTGGAGGAAAAAAATAAAAAACCACAAAAATCCATTACAAGTGCGGAGACAAAAGTTTTGTGTAGCCCGGAGTAGAATGAATCATGCAGCGGTTTTCGAGAGTGGGCAGCTGGATATATGTATCTGTCTAACTATCCACAACAGTGGCCAGATATCCATATCGAAACGGATGTGGCTCTGGCAAATATGCAAAAGTAGAAAGAGCCAGAGAAAAGCTACCAGGTAAACAGCCAGCACAGAACTTGCTTTCCACCCATATCTCCAACTAACGCGAATGAAAGTTGACTTCTCCAAGTCGGATCCAAAGTCGGTTAAGTAAATGCTGTATCTGGATATCTTTGGATAGTATCTGTATCAGCAGGCGACCTTTACCTCATAGGCTGCTACATCCTCCTTGCCGTAAATGGCGGTTGGCGACGAGTTCCGTGGGGCGAACATTTCACAATCTCTGCATTCGTCCTTGGTGGCCCACAAAACATTCCTCGATTCAGTATTCACTTGTTTAAGTTATTTAGTTAATTGCGAATCTGGCTTCTTGGTTATCTTTATTTTTATGGCACATTTGAGACAGACGCCCACCAAAAAAAACTGAGACTTTAAGGCTATAAATTCGTAATTGTTTTTTGTGTGATTTTTTGTTTTTTGGGGGCGTTGTGGTTTCGTTTTTAATTTTTTGTTCGTATAATTAATAATACACTTTAAATAATACTTTATTCTTTCCGGCTGCTATATATTTATTTATTTTGCAGTTTATCGTTTGATGACTAGTCTTCATAACATTTGTTCGCTTTTTTTTTTTTTGCGACTTTGTCAAGGTCGTGTTGGGTGTTCTCTTTGTATCTTTTTCTCGTGCTTCTCGGTTCGTTGTATCTTGTATCTTTCAGTGCCGTTTCAAATTCGTTGCGGTATCTATTTATCTTTTCCTTCTTACAACCACTTTTTTCACACTGAACTATAATTATTTTTGTATTTTTTTTTCGTAGTTCTCGGCTTTAATATTTTTGGTTTTTCATAAAATATTCGTTGCACGTTTTTCGCTGAGTTTGTTGGCTAATTTCTTTCTACAACAAATAAAGAATTGCCATATAATTATTCAAAAAAAATTGCTTGTCGTTTTCAGTTGTTATTGTTTTTAAAATCGTTTTTTTAGCCGTGCTAGCCGTTGTCGCGTATCGTTTTTTAGCGCGGCTCAAATGAAACTGACGACTGACGACTGAGATTCCAACGATTTGAAAACCACTTTGCCGATATTGAGTTGAG